TTATTAACAGTATTTCAGATATATATCACCCTCAGTATCGACAAGTATGTGCTGTTATAAACACACACTACTGAGGAGGAAATAAATCATTGCAATCTTTCTGGAAAGCCATCTGGCAATTTGTCTGAAAGAGTTCAACATGCTCTCATTTCTTGATCCAGAAGTTCCACATCCAGGAGTTTAACCTAGGAATATAATTAAAGACACAGCACAGTAATGAATACATTATATGTGTTATTAAACAATATAAGCATCCTAAATGTACAACTGGGCTTCCCTGGTGGCGCAGTGGTTGAGAGTCCGCCTGCCGATGCAGGGGACACGGGTTCGTGCCCCGGTCCGGGAAGGTCCCACATGCTGCGGAGCGGCTAGGCCCGTGAGCCATGGCCGCTGAGCCTGCGCGTCCGGAGCCTGTGCTATGCAACAGGGGAGGCTATGACAGTGAGAGGCCCGTGTACCGCAAAAAAAAAAAAAAAGTACAACTAACGTTATAACATTAGTGGAGGTTGCACGTTATTGCAAATTGTTTTTTTGAAAAGCAGATGCATTGACTTAGAACAGTGGTTATAATATGTGAGGTAAAAATAATCAACAAAATTTATATATGCGAAGTGGTGAAATATCACTGTGTAAACAGACAGGTAGATAGATGATACATAGAAGATAAATACCGATAGAAAATACCTCAAAATATTAACAGTGGCTATTACTGGGTTGTACAATTTTAAATATTTTTCTTTATGTTATTCTGTACCTACAAGACACTCTAGGATGATTTTTTTCATCAGAATGATAAAAATACACTTGCTATTCACCTGTAGAAGTTTTCCATTGCCAACTATATGAAAATTAAACTGCACTGTTTATAAAGGCACTTTAATGACTCTCCTCAAAATAGCCGTAGATTATCTATCTATCTATCATCTATCTATCTATCTATCTATCTGTCTATCTATCATCAATTGTGTGTGTGTTTTTAATATTTATTTATTTCTTGGCTGCATTGGGTCTTTGTTGCTGCACAGGGGCTTTCTCTAGTTGCAGCGAGCGGGGGCTACTCTTTGTTGCGGTGCTTGGGTTTCTCATTTTGGTGGCTTCTCTTGTTGCAGAGCATGGGCTTTAGGCACGCGGGCTCAGTAGTCGTGGCTTGCTGGCTCTAGAGTGCAGGCTCAGTAGTTGTGGCACACGGGCTTGGTTGCGCCACGGCACGTGGGGGGTCTTCCTGGACCAGGGCTCAAACCCCTGTCCCCTGGATTGTCAGGCGGACTCTTAATCACTGCACCACCAGGGAAGCCCCCTGTGTGTGTGTATGTTTTTTTTGTTGTTGTTGCAGTACGCGGGCCTCTCACTGTTGTGGCCTCTCCCGTTGCGGAGCACAGGCTCCGGACGCGCAGGCTCAGCGGCCATGGCTCACGGGCCCAGTCGCTCCGCGGCATGTGGGATCCTCCCAGACCGGGGCACGAACCCGTGTCCCCTGCATCAGCAGGCGGACTCTCAACCACTGCACCACCAGGGAAGCCTGTGTGTGTGTTTTTAAACTCCCTACCCAGCCTCTATCAAATGCAGGCATATTTTTTATCTTTATTAATTTTACCTTTGATATATGAATCAAAATTTGCTTTATTTAAGCTACACGTGTTTAAATATCTCTGATTCTTGTTATTTTGACTAATTCACTCATAATACTTGATCATATGAGTTTTCTACCAGAGCTCTCTTTTAATATTTATTGATAAATGTCTTTATAAATTTTTTTTCTAAATTGTGTTCATGTGCTTTGAGTCCCCATCCTCATGACTGTGAGCTCCTTCATAGTTCCATAACTATTACCTCTTTTTTAACACTACTTGAACAATTAGTGGAGTTCTTTGCACACAGCAAGTGCTTGATACATTTATATAACTCATCAGAATATTTATAAATCAGAGTTATCACAAATTTCTTTAATCAAAGGGTGGGGAATGAGTTTTTAAATTGGATATGAAACTGTAATGTGTCTGAGTCTACAGAAAAGGAATATCACTGAAGCTTCCTTTTAATAAAGTAAAATGAAATGTTCGTTTTAAGTGAACATTCAACTCCCTGATGCACTATTTAAAATTGTGTTTAAGTATAATCATTAAATAAGTTGCATTGCAGGTTTTACATCCAAATCTCTGTTTAAAATTAAATAGCAATGATAGATAGTCCCCCTTCATTCCCTGAAACATTTGATCAATTTTGTAATCCTAAATAAAACCTTCAAGATTCATGTCAGTGTCATGTTTTCAGGAAAATATGCAAGATCTGGTTTCAAATAAGCTTCCAGCTTGAAATTAAAATTTTCTATCTCTTTCTTTGCTTATAGTTTGGAGGCAAGTTTAATGTCAATATTACACAATTAAAAATAATATTAATTTTGATAATACTAATAATTTCCATATATTAAGTATGCCGCTTACTGTTTTACATACATTCTTTGATGAATCCTCACATTAATTATTGAATGTAGATATTATTAATCTCACTTTGAAAATTAGGATTCAAACTCTGAGGAATTAAATAGCTTATTGAAAACTTACTAGCAAGGTTGGTATGTTTTGTTGTAGGATACAGACGTTCACCACTCAATCTACTGGAATATTTATGAGACTACTTACTGTAACACCCAAAAGGCCATCTCAGTGAAAAACTCTGAGCCCATATCTGTGCATTTTGATCCACTTCCATGGCCACATTATTTTTCCCTCCAGTTGGGTGCAATAACTTTGTGAGCACAAAGATCTGGGAGTTATAAAAACATACTTATCAAATGTCAGTGTGTGTATTTGGATGTCCCACAGGAACCCAGAGAGAAAGGCAAGGATCCATGGGTCAAGAATACTCTAAATAATCTGGAGCTGAGAAGCCATTTATTCAACAGTTCTTGAGTGTCTGTGTGCCCCATACGTTTCTGGTGCTACAGATATAAATCAGCCTTACTCCTGCTCTCAAGAAAGTTATAGGCACGGAAACTCAGACGTACAGTCAGCAAGAATGTTCAATAAATTTTGATATGGATGAGCACAATAGTCTCTGTATAGATGTAGATAAGGGAAAATTATCAACTGTTCCTCAGGTGGTCAGATTATGTGTGCAGGCAGAGGAAATCGCCAAGTATAAGTGAAAAGAGAAAGGAATCTATAGGACTATGTTAAAATTAGGAACTTTTCTTCAGTGAGACAATATTAATAGGATCTAAATGTAAGGCAGAGTGGTATATGGTTAAAACATTAAGGTGACCAAAAAAAAAAGCCTTATATATCAAGGTCAAATATGCAACTGAGAGGATATTCAAATGCACATTTTGGATACAACAGTCAGTCACAATTTGTAAGGTAAAAAATATACCTGGAAATTTTTCAGATACATATTGGAATACATGGAAATAATAAAACAAGAGTATTTTTTGTTAGTTCCTTGAGCTGTTTTTGTTTGTTTGTTTGAATATGTGCATAAAGTTCCAGTGATCAGGCAGAAACTGATGTGATTTTCATGAGCCATGGCTGTATGAGTATTTCACATATGTGCTCTTTGCTCCCCCATTTTAAGGATGAAAATTATCAAAGCAAAGATGTACTGTATAGCACAGAGAAATATACTCATTTTTGTAATAACCTATAAGAGGAAAGAATCTGAAAAAAAAAATAGATCTGTATGTGTGTATAACTGAGTAACTTTGCTGTATACCTGAAACTAATACAACATTGTGAATCAACTATACTTCAGTAAAAAATAAATAAATTTTAAAAATTAAAAAAAAATTATCAATACTGTTTGGAAGGTTTTGAAAAGAACCAGACATCATATATTTTGTAGTATATAAGCTTCAAAGATATATGTGACTGTTCCACTTGTGTTTCTTCTATGATCACATAAAAAGTTGAAAGTGATCAGCTTGACCCATGCCACCCACCCTAATATTACATTTTTAACATGTTCACAAAGGAAAAATATTTCAAAATGTATGGCACTTTTTCAAACAATTTGATATTTCTGCCACTTGAAAAATGCAAAACTAATCAAAGAAAAATAGAAATGGTAGTTTGGCCTCTTAAGAATATATGTTAAGTATATATGTGTCTAAATAAGAGTATTGTGAACATGTTAGATTTGTTTTTCCTTTCTCTGTTAGTTAACATACAGAAACAGACAGGAATCTGGCTAAATATTTTCAAAAGCTTCTGGGAAATAGTATACTTACAATATAACATGAGATGAGAATAACAGTGTCCACAAATTGACATTGACCAGCTGTTATTGACAATTGTGCAGCAAATTTTCTTTCATGTAGTCTAAATCTTATTTTTTTTGTTAAAGGGAGATTATACTAGATTTTAAATATCAAATGTATATTAAGTGGGTTTTTAAAAAGATATTGAAAAAGAAGTTTCTAAGTGTAAACAACACATAAAATGTAATGAAAGTAATAATTGATAAGTTCAATTATTTAGGTATTAAATTATATAGTTTGCTAAAATTTCAAATCACTTAATTATCAGTGCTAGAATATATTTATAGTTGATGGTGAAGTTTTTACTATTTTAACGTAACTGTTCTCTTTCTAAATGCTATAAAATTATTCGATTAAAATACAGACCACAAATCCAAGCAATGATGAGTCCAGTATTATATATAGAGAAGAGTAGATATTAGAATCAGTTAAAATTTCAATAATTGAAGATAATATGCCAGAGATACAAGTCATTCGGAGCTCAGTTTACCTTTCTAGGGTTGTCTCTGAATATATTTGTTTTTATTTTTTCCACAATAACAGGCAAGGCCACTCTTGGAGATTATTATAATGTCTGTCCTTCTTCAGATTCAAAATTAACTAGTCTATGGTGTTCAACTACAAATCTTGAAATCTGAGTCTAACTGCTGGCTCAGGTGTTATCTAGCTGTCCAGACTACAATATCTGCGTGTCAATTCTTTCTGAGGTAATGAAGCTGAACTAAACTCTCTGATTTTTTTTTTCCAGGAAGAATTGAACCCCATCATTGTTACCCCACCGATCGAAGCCATTGATCAGGACCGGAATATTCAGCCGCCATCAGATAGGCCAGGCATCCTCTATTCCATCCTTGTTGGTTTGTGTCTGCTAACATTTTGCACTCTCAGTTATAGCTCTAGAATCATGTAGGGGAAAAACATGTTTCAAATTAAA